CGGCGGGTCGCGGCAGACCAGCCGCCGCCGGGCGATCGGGAGGCAGCCGAGGGAGCGGAGGTTCAACGTGGACGCGCTGAAGAGCTTCGCGGGCCTGCCTTGGAACCTCCAGTCTAAGCCTGAGCGGGCAGACACCGTTGCCGGGCAGCCCTGGGGCGGCGTTGAACCCCGCCTCGGAGACAGCGTGGCGAGGGCGCGCCAGGCGCAGGCGCAACCGCGCCAGGCCGAGGGGGCGCATCCAGCGGCAGAGGCAAGCAGCGGCGCCGCAGCAGCAGCAGCTCCAGTGGCCGTAGCGCCAGGGCGACCACCTCCAAGACCTCTGGGCGCTCCGCCAGCACCCCATGCCCGAGCCGAAGCTCGGATGAGCCACCAACGTGACGAAGAGGATGGTGCAGACCTACGGGCCCACCTTGAACTGTCCGAGGTGCTGGGGAGGCGAGGCGGCGCACTCTCGTGAGTGCAGGGTGCGCATGGAGGGGAAGCTCCTGGATGAGGTGAATCGGCAGGCAGCGGTTCGCCCGTTGCCAGGCGACGCCATCGCAGCCCCAGGGGTGGAGGTGGATGCGGCAGCGGTCGACCCCGCAGCCGCGATGGCAGCAGCAGCAGGTGGCGCAGCAACAGCGGCGAGTTCATCCCAGCCACCTCCTGCGGAGGGCGGCTCAGCGTGCGACTCCGCGGGGGCGGGCGTGGACTCGAGGAGCCGACCGGCAGCTCCCACGGACGGCGAGCCACGGTCGAAGGCGCCGAGGGTGGCCCACCTCGCGGTGCCCGTGGACGTCAGTGAACCTGCCTACTTCGGACTCGACGGCGAGGACTGCGAGCGGCTGCAGCTGTTCGCGGCGTCCGTGCGTGATCGGGAGACCCCGACAGAGTGGGCGTGCGACCTCGTGCCAGAGGCGGTGGTGTACGACAGCCGCTCGGGCGAGGTGCTGCCGAGGGAGCTCGCGGTGCAGGGGCGCCAGCAGGAGCTCGCCCAGATGGCCGCGTTCGGCGCGCGCGAGGACGCGTCCGACGACGCGAGCGTAGGCAGGCGCATGCGGAGCAAGTGGCGTGACGGACTCCGATGCAGGCCAGACGGGGCGCCCTTCGTACGGTCGAGACTCGCTGCCGTGGGCTTCAACTTCTGCAAGCGTGGCGACGTGGCGGCAGGTGCGCCATACCTCTTCCACTTGCGCCCTGTGGTGCCCCTGGCAGAGGCAAGCGGCTCTTCCACTTGCGCCTCGGAGCCCCTGTCGTGGCAGAGGCAAGTGGCTCTGTGCGATGCCAGCGTGGCGTTCTTCCACGCGGACATGGGCGAGTGGTTGTGCGTGATGCCACCGCCTGGGCTGCGACGACCTGGGCGGGTCTGGCAGCTCCACGAGGCGCTCTACGGTACAGGGCCTGCGTCAAGGTTGTGGCAGGCATACGTCGGCGACGTCTTCGAGAAGAGTCAGCCGCCATGGGTTCGGATCACGCCTTGCCCTTGTGCCTTCTACGACGAGACGTCGGACGTCGCGCTGGGCGCGCACGGCGGCGACTTCGCGGCCGATGGGGATCTCGGCGAAGCTCGACGTGCTCGACGCTGCTGGAGGATCAGCGAGATCAGTAAGCTGGGTCGAGTGGGCCCGGGTGCCACTGGCGGTGGCCGCGGCAGAAGCGACGCGTCGAGTGGCGGGGGGCTCCGTCTCCTAGCATGGTGTGGAGAGCAGATGACGCGCATGTGGACATCCTACCCGAGCTCTTGGACCTGCCAGCTGACGCGACGAAGCCTCAGACGAGCCCAGGCTCGAAGGCCACGGGAGGCTCCGTGCCCAAGGAGGCGGTCGTGGACGAGCGGCTGAATAGGTTGGTGTCCAAGGCAGGCGGAATGCTGACCTACCTGTCCCGGGACGTGCCGCAGGTGCAGTACGCAGCGAAGATGATCATGGCGAAGGCGTCGAAGCTTACGCCGCTTGCCGAGGTCAGGCTCAAGGGTGCTGCGCGGTACCTGGTGGGGTGCCCAGTGACGGAGTGGCACTGCCCGTTGCATGACTTACCAGTCACGGCGGACGTCGAGGGCGACAGCGACTGGGCAGGAGCGGATGACGCGAAGTCCACGCAGTGCACGGTGATGATGTTCGGCGATCACTGTCTAGAGGTGACTACGTCGACGCAGGGCTACGTAGCGACGTCAGGCGGGTTGGCAGAGCTCCTGGCTCTCAGCAGGGCGGGTGCCTCCGCTATCCTGTTGCAGCAGATGCTCGCACAGTGCGGGATCCACGTGCAGGGAGTTGCTGGTGCGGGCAGCTTGGCAGCGAAGGGAATGGCCCACCGAGTGGGGTCAGGCCGAGTGCGGCATCTCCGCGCCCAGGACTTGTGGATGCAGGAGCGCGTGCGGACTAAGGATCTGCAGGTGATCAAGTTGGACGCGGCGGTGAACCGAGCTGACATCGTGACGACGTACCTGGGCGGCTCGAGCATTGAGGTGTCGCTGAAGCTCATGGGGCTAGCGACAAGAGGGCGCGCGGCTGGCCATGTGAGCGACTCCGCGGCTGCCGTGCTGAAGGTATTCTCGGCAGCGGTGTATGTGCGTGGCGCAGCGGGAGTTGCCGCAGCCGCGGGAGAAGGCCAGTGTAACGGCAGCGCGATTGGCATCGTCGCGCCGCTGTTCCAGTTTGTGCTGGTGTACGTGATTGGAGCCGCGGTGGCGGAGTGCTACCTCGCCAAGAGGCGCTCGAGGGGGCGCCAGCCCGACGCTGCGGGCGGCGAGGTGATGGGGGGCGGGCGAGACGACAGCGCTCAGGGCGGACGAGAGCGGGTAGCCCCGCCTCTAGCCACAGAGGGCGCGAGCGCCCAGGGCGGGCGAGAGCGGGAAGCACCGCCTCCGGCCACAGAGGACGCGAACAAGGGGTCGGCAGCGGGAGGCTCCGTGCCGATCAAGAGTGAAGGACCTCGGCAGCGACGACAGGTCGCGTCGAGGATCGTGGAGTGCCAGTGCGAGGAGCTCCACGGCGTTCCACTCAGTGGCGAGCAGATAACCGTCAGAGACGAGCTGATGCGCTGGCGGCGCTGGGGGCGCGGGGCCTCAGCGCGACGGGCCTAAAGGCGAACCTTGCCAACGGGCTGGCGAGGGTGGCGGCGGGGCCATCTGGGGCCAAGCAGGGCCCGAGGCTGACCGTCGGCGAGCTGGTCGGGTCGACTACGACGGTTGCGGGCGCGCCCAGCTGAAGGCGCCCAACGACCCCTGAGAGGCCGCTCCCAGCGGGAGGCTCCGCGAGGGTGCGCCGCGCTTCGCTCCGCAAGGACGCGGCGAGGAGGCGTGCCAGAGCTATGAACATAGTTATAGGGTGTTGGGGGGCCCCTCTCGGCTCAAAAAGGATCGCGGCTCCGCGTGGGGTGCCGCGCATATACAGATATCGTAAGTGTAGTATCGTGCATGTCAACTTGTAGTATATTATATTACAATGTGTTATAGCATAGGATGTTATACGTTATCGTCGTGTTATATTCTTCACAGTCCGTTATTGCATTCAATAAATGTTCATATTATCCCATTTGATGTCATTCCATCTCATTGTGCTGTATCATATAATAAGATACGGTATCATGTTACCTTATCCCATCCTATTAAATTGTATATCGTCATCCATGTTTACGCGATCAATGTTTATTTCGAATGTTTATCATATCACACCATAATCCAGCTTTTTATGCCATATGCATTTATGTTCTATTCACGTACATGATACTTATCACATAGCAGTATATTAAATCATGTTTAGTCTGTTGTAATAAATTTGCTGTCGTTGTATCATCGCAGTGCGCATTGTATCGACTGGTCTTTTACAGGTATGTCACACTGCAGTGTTTTATAATATGGAAGATAAGTTGCAGAATCTATCGCATCACTTCCGATTCCTATATTGTTCCAGACGCCCTTTCGGACGTCTCAGCGGCCCCCTGGACACTCTTGGCAAAGGTCCGCTGGCCCTTCCGGGCCTCCCAGGGCGCCTTTCCCGGCCTTGCGAGCAGACTCAAAGCGATCAGAGGGGTCATCGGAGAGGCGTAAGAGAGATTCAAGACAGTACAAGAGCGGGGAGGGATGTGTTTGCAATGGGTCTTGGTGCCTCATTGGGGCCTTCTTGGGCTGTCTGGGGGCTCAGTTGGGGCTCTCCTGGGCTGTTTCGGAGGCCCTCTGGAGCGTCTTTTGGGGCGGCTCTGGAGGTCCTCTGGGGACGTGCTGGCGCTCTCCTGGGGCCAGGTTGGACTGCCTTCGCGGCCGCCTGGGGCCGTCCTGGATCCCCCCAGAGGCCCTCAGGAGGTTTCCGGAGGACTTCAGAGAAGCGGCATTCTTACGGTGGAGAGCATTTGGCTTAGCGTGTCGCTCTGCTGGTTCCGGCCCACCACGCTTCGGCGCGACACGCTATCCACGCCCCCAGTCCCAAGCGTCAACGTCCCGAGCTGTTCCCAGCTTCCCGCCACGCGGGGTGGAGCGACACGCCATCCGCTCGCAGGGCACGTGTCGCCAGGACACCTTAGGCAAGAATTCCCGACCGCAGGGCGCGCAGATTCGAGACGGGCCCCGCCTGCACGCAGAATCGACGCACTCCGTGGCCAAGCCAGGGGGCACTGCCCTCGTGTTTCGGAGGCACCCTCCCCGACCCGTGGGTCTGGCGCCAGCGCGCCAGATCCAAGGATCCCTGATGCGTGCCAGCGTGTGCCCGGTGCTGGGCTGGGGAGCGGTGTATGCACGCCCCCCCCCCGGCTTAGCCAGGGAGGCAGTGCTGCGCACTGCTCCTGGGCCCAGGATTCGGTATAGTTTAACCGACCCCGCCCATCCCCATCCCCATCCAGACCCCCATCATCTTACCCCCCAAGTTGGGGACATACCCCTCGAAACCCGATGGCCACGGCCTATGTATCCCCGTCTAGGAGGGTCGATCGGCCAGTTGGGGCCAAGGCCACGCCCATGGGGACAGGAGTCGGTTGAACGATGCTCAAGGATGGGCCCGGCCAGGGGCCGGTGGACGTCTGTGCAGGTCTCACCGCTCGGCGCGGCCTCGCCTTGTGCGGGCCTGCAGGTCAGAGGTACGCCTTGTCTACTGTCGACGGCAAGCCTGGGGGGGGAAGTGAGGAGGGGCGGGCCTTCTCAGGGGGCTCAGAAGTCACCCGACCTTCGGAGAAGTTTCGTAAGCTTTCCCCGGAGACGCTGAAGACTTCTCAGAAGGCCGAAAGGCTTCTGAGAAGCCCCGCCGCCTCCTGAGAAGACCTTTTCCTTCTCCCCCCCCCCCTCGTCCGCGGCCAATATTGGGTAGGGAACGGGGGGGACACGTCGCCATCGCAAGAGAATCTTGCCCGCGGCCATGGAGAACAACTCACCAGAGCAATCGGATATTGACAGTAACCGCGCGGAACAAGGCGCCAGAGCAACATGACTTTGGCACAAGCCCCGAGATCCGACGACGTGAACAAACATGCAGCATCGTGCAGAATCACACCCAGAGCCCAGGACCCCGTCTCTCTGCAGCACTTTTCGAGCCCCATCGAGCGGTGAGGGCCCCGGGGCCCAGAATCGTGCGAACACGCCCGTTGTGAACAAAATGCCCCGCCAGGATCTCAGGCTGGCTCTGCACCCCCCGGGTGCACACGAGCCTCGCCTGCCCCAACCTGGCGAGCTCTGGCCCGCGCTGCCCGCCAGCCGGGCAGCTTTCGGAGGGCCCCGGCTCGCCTGGCGCGCGCGGTGCTGGCATCGCGCTCGCGCCGCCCGCGGCGCGAGCTGCCGAGCCGGCTGTGACTGTGCAAGCCCGAACCAGCCTCGAATTGATCCCTACCCCTATGGGATCGGCAAGCCCAAGGCGATGACAACCTCGGGGTTGAGCCCTCAGAGACCGAGGGGAGCCTCAAGGTCGGCATCGAGGTAAGGTGATGCCAAACATAGGGGTAGGGACATGTTTCATGCCAGGTGATCGTTTTTTATTCATTGTTTTGCCGATCGGCTCGGGCCCCACCCCCCCCCCTCCCTCCCTCCCCAAAGGGTAGATCTTGGCTATTTTTGGCGCCTCTTTCTAGCGGGTGGAGTCTCCCCCAGAGGCAGCACTCTTGCAAACAGGCGCACTAAGCAGAGGTCCGGAGCCAGACCCCCTCCCCTTGCCGCCCAATGTCGAAACGCCGAATCAAAAGACGCTCGCCAGGCAAACCCGTCGCCCCAGCTGCAGATGCTGGCGCGTCCGAGGGTCCGGGGCTGCCCAGGGGGTGAACCAGGCCCGCGGTCGGCTGGCTATCCGAAGGGGGTGACGGGGTGGGTCGGGGTGGTCTCGTAGGTCGTCAAGATGAGGGGGGCGGGGGCGGGACACGTGGAGAAAGACACATGCGGCCCGCATCCCCCCCCCCCCCGCCCGGAAGTCGGGCCTTCGGGTTGGGTTCGGGGTGGCCTGGCAGGTCGTCAAAATGACGGGCGCGCTCGCCCGGCCGCGGGCCCCGGGATCCTCGCGGACCGATCCGGGTTCGGAAAAGGGCGCAGGGAGGCGGGGCTTCGGGCTCTGGTTCTAGGCCTCCTAGATGGGGTCGGAGCAGATGGGGTCGGAGGGTCGCGCCGCATCGGCGATGCATCGGCGATGCATTGGCGATGCGTGGCTCGATGTGGGGCCCGATTTTCTTTCCGACGTCGCGGATGTATCGCCGACGTCGCCGGTACCATCGCCGATGCATCGGCGATGCATCACCGATGTATCGGCGATACGGCGAGATCTTCCGACCCCACTAACTCGGACCCCATCTCGGAGGCCTCTACTGGTCGTGATTTTTTCGCGGTGCTGCAGTTTTTTTTTGTAACGTTCGATCTCCGTGCCAGGACCCTGCAGGCGACTGGTTGAAGTGATCTTCCCGAGGGACAACAAATTTCCCAAACAGTGCTTGCACCTAGGTGTTCTCATTTCTGGAAGGAGAGACTGGGGGGGAGTGTTGGTCTGGCGGCGATGTTGCCGCCGTCGCCTCCCCGTCGCCTCGTCGTTGTTTGGGCGAGGTTGATGACCTGTTGGCTATGTTGCCGCCGTCGCCGCCTCGTCGCCACCTCGTCGCCGCCCGTCGTCTGGGCGGGTCGTCGGTCTGGAGGCTATGATGACGCCATCGTCGCCTTGTCGCCGTCCTGTCGCCGCCTCGTCGTCGCCACATCGGTTGTTCCACACAGATTGTACAATACATTTTGCACCACGTTCTTGCGCAACATCGATTGCACCACATAGATTGCACAACAAAGATTGCAAAACATAGATTGCACAACGCATACTGCGCTGTACATGAATTGCACCCCGTAGATTGCACAACATTCGTTGTACCAAACAGAATGCACCACCTATATTGTTCCAAGTCAGTTTATTTTTCGAATTAAAGATTCGGATCTCCCCCTGGGTTTTATCTCTCCCCCTTGGATAGTACAATACACATCTGGTGTTGCCACATCGTTTTTCTGATATAAAATAGAGTTGGAGTTCATACCATCCTACCCAGACCCATCATCGCCCCCCTCACCCCTGGCAAATAATATTGTGCGCGCCACCGTATGTCACAATGCTTTCGTTTTCGGAAATCACTTGCGCACGACTAGACAAAGTCCGCGCGCGCGGCGTCGCGCGCGCATGCCGAAATCTTTCAAACACCGTTTGGTTTCTTGGGGATGTCAATACCGAGGTTCCCGACAACATGTGAACAGTATGGGCTTCTTCAAGCTCGTTTTTCAAAAGAAACAGCTGCGCACGTGCTGCTGCGAATCCTTGGGGGATTTTTTCTTCATGTGCGTCACATGAGACCATGCAGGCGGCCCGCACGCGCATGCCGAAGTCATTCAAACACCCTTGCGCGTCTGCTGTGTGTGTGTGTGTGTGTGGGGGCAACGTCCCTGTCAAATAATGCAATGCGTGCCATTCGCGCGCGTCGGTCGTGCGCGTACGCCAGAATCCTTGCAGCAATCCCTGCAACACCTCCATCCCCGATGCGTGGACCTCATCATCTTCATCTGCGTTACCTTCATCAGCGCCGTCGTTTGCGTTGCCGTCGTCGTCGTCATAATCTTCATCACCGATGCTGCCATCATCGTGTCAGGAATTTTTGACTTTACCATGATACCGCGCCCTCCCGAGTCACCGAGTCGAACTGAAGTGCCCGCGCGTCAGCGCGGCCTGCGAGATGAGCTGGGAAGTCCCCAGCGGCCAGCGTCACCGCGGGAGCGTCGGACGCGCCAGGCTAGCTTGCCGCTGCCATTGAGCTTGCGCGCGCTAGCGCGGCCGCGCCGATGCGCCAACCAGTCATCGCATTCGCTGTCGCATGGGTTTGCAAACTGAATTGCGGGTGGGTGGGTGGGGTAATTGCGCGAGCAGTGGAGTTGACAATTCCGAGTTCTCCAAAACGAGTTGCACCATTTAGATTGCACCACGTCGCTTGCATCACTTAGGTTGCATCACTTATTTTGCGCAACATAGGTTGCACCGCACATTGCGCAGCGGAGATTTCGCAACGTTGGTTGCGCAGCACATATTGCACCACATATATTGCACCGCATAGACTGCACGATACGGGTTTCATGGCGTGAATTGCACAGCGTAGGTTGCACCACATAGACGGCACACCATGTATGGCATAGTTTATAAGTATACATGTATATTGCAAAAATTCTGCCTTCCCCAAAAAAAGCTTTGGATCTACCGCCCCCCCGCCCCCGGGATTCTTACCTCCTCTGGGGTCATGCATTTTGCATGTGGTTTTGCTCCATCGTTCGATCTTCGCATGCATTCACACCATCCCATCCCTACCCCTTACCCCCCCCCCGTCCCTGTCATATGATACGGTGCGCGCCCGCTCGTTTATCAACAATCAGTGATTGTCCGAAGCCCGTGGCATAAAATGCGCAAAAATCCACGCGCGGGCGTTGTCGTCCGCGAAAGACAGAATTTTTGATTCACGTCAGGTTTCGTTTGCATTTCAAGATGGAGAGTCCGGTACATATACGCAGCGGTGGTTTTGCAACCTGATTTCATGACAACCCTCCACTTTTAAACATGATTACACCAGTACTCACAAGCGGGCCTCTCGCGCCCGCGTGCGGGAATCATTGTAATGTCCTTGCGCGCCTGCTGGGGGGCGCGGTTCATGTCAACCGAGGCCTTGCGGGCCAGCCGCGCGCGTCGGCCACGCGAGCATGTCGAAATCTTCTCGTAGCCTTCATCGCCGACACGTGGACACCATCATCTTCATGTGAGTGATCAGTTTCGGCGCCGTCATTGGCTATGTCGCCGTCATCGACACCATTGTGGCCAGCATCGCTATTATTATCATCGTGTCTGCCGCTGCTGACATCGCCATGATACCGCGCCCGCCCGAGTCTCCGAGTCGCGCTGAATTGCCCGCGCGTCAGCGCGGCTTGCGAGACGCACTGGGAAGTCCCCAGGGGTCACTGCCACCGCGGGTGCGTCGGTCGCGCCAGACTAGCTGGCCGCTCCGCGCTCGAGCTTGCGCGCGCTCGCGCGGCCGCGTCGATGTGCCGGCCAGCGCCAAGCAGTCATCGCAGTCGCTGCCGCTTGAGTTTTGCAAAACAAGTTGCGGGTGGTTGGGTGAGATGATTGCGCGAGCAGTGAAGTTGACAACTTACTGCGTCTATTCTCTTTTTTAGAAGCGACGTATATTCTCTTTTTTAGAAGCAACGTAATTGCACTATTATCGCCCCCCTTTCATCTCTGTCATCTGATGCTATGCTTGCGTGCTTCTGATCAGATATCATACGTGTCCAAGAAGCCTTTGCAACGCAAGTCGACGCGCGCGCGTCGGCTCGCGTGCGCGTCGGCATTTCTCTAACAATTCAAGTTCCCAACGGTCTACACTGTTGAGGTTTCCGAAACAGATTCAACAACAAACGGTTGCTTTTGGCAGTCTGGTTGTCAGCACAGTTGCAAACCATTGGGCGCCAGAGTTCCAGATGTTTCAAGATTTCCTTATATTTGGCGGCCCGATTTACGAAATGCGTTCGCTGTTGCGAGTGCGTGCGACCAAGCCATTGGCATTTCAAATTTTCGATCAAATCGATCAAGCGGGTTTCTCGCGCGCGCATGCCGAAGTCACTATGGCGCCCTGGCGCGCTCGACGGGGGGGCGCTGTCCCTGTCGAATAATTCCATGCGGGCCACTCGCGCGCGTCGGCCTCGCGCGCACGTCGAAGTCATCTCAGAACCTTCATCGCCGACGCGTGGGCGCCGTCATCGTCGCCAGCGCGACCAGCATCGGCGCCGTCATTGGCTTTGCCGTCGTCATCGTCATCATCCTCGCCCTCATCGCTATTCTAATCATCTTTTCCGCTTCGGCGTCGCCGCGATGAAGCGCCCGCGCGTCAGCGCGGCCTGCGACGCGCGCTGGGCGGCCCCCAGCGGTCAGTGCCACTGCGCCCGCGTCGGTCGCGCCAGCCTAGCGGGCCGCTCTGCGCTTGAGCTTGCGAGCTTGCGCGCGTTGGCGAGGCCGCGAGGGTGCGCCAGCCACTGCAAACAGTCGTCGCAATCGCCGCCGCGTGGGATTCGCAAACTCAGCTGCGGGCGGGCGGGCGGGATGGTTGCGCGGGCAGAGAGAGGAGCTTGCAAGTTCAATTTCGGCGAGGTGAGCTGCGCCACATCAATTTTTTCTTTTGAGGGAAATTAAATTCTACCCAACCCCTCCCAGGATTGCCGCCCCCTTTGGGGTAATGCAAGTTACAATTGATTCTGCCTCCTTGTTAACTTTCCATCTGAATTCACGCCGCCCCAGCTAGTCCCGGCATCGTCCCCCTCAGCCCTGTCGAATA